CTACTTGTCAGAAAGTGGGGAAGGCACAGATTTAAGCTGCCACAAGCAAGGGTTCTGAGCACTATATGAATAAAGCCCAGAGACCACACACTCAAAAGATCACCAATGACTCAGTCGGTTTTCCAGTGTCCTTCGCATGCCAAACCTGCACAGCAGTGCTGAAAGGGACACGGAACGCAAACCCAACCACAGACAGAGTAGCACAGCCAAGTGCTGTGAGGCTGAGAGAAGACAAAAAGCCATCGGGATACCGACCCAGACTCCACACAGATGTGCCTCAGACCACCAGAAAGTCTAACAACAGGTCTTGTGATGAGCATCAAGAACACAGCTACAAACTCTTTCAGTGTATATTGTGATTAGACAACCAGAGCACACAGCATGCACTCTAAGCCCGCAGGTAACAGCACAGGGAACTTATACAAGATAAGTGTGGGAAAAGCACCAACAATTACAGGGAACAATCATGACCAAAGCCAGAACAGCGTTTCTTTGGGAGGTTGAGACAGTCAACTAACATCAAGGAACTATCCTGGGTTTATAAAAGATTGGTGGAAATAGCAAACATTCAACTTCTCTAATGTGTTACAGGTCGGAAAATAGATATGTGTAATTGTTATGCTACTCTATATCTTTTTTTTTAAGATTTATTTATTTATTGGAAAGTCAGATATACAGAGAGGAGGAGAGACAGAGAGGAAGATCTTCCATCTGATGATTCACACCCCAAGTGAGCGCAACGACCGACGCTATGCTGATCCGAAGCCAGGATCCAGGAACTTCTTCCCGGTCTCCCACACAGGTGCAGGGTCCCAAAGCTTTGGGCCATCCTGGACTGCTTTCCCAGGCCACAAGCAGGGAGCTGGATGGGAAGTGGGGCTGCCGGGATTAGACCCCGGTGCGTTCAAGGCGAGGACTCTAGCCGCTAGGCCACGCCACCAGGCCCCAAATCTTTGGATCTTAAGTTTATTTTGAAGGACAAAAGCAAACAAATCAGAAATGTCAGAGACGCAAGACGGCTAACCAGAGTAGGAGGATGTAGCCCCGAGTGGAAAGAATGCAGCAGGAGAAAAGCAGGTGCTATGCAGAGCCGGAGAAGGAAAATCACTCCGTTAGGTGAATGGAGTTTGCAGGCCTGTGGAAGGAAGGTGGAGCTGCGCAGAGGAGGAAAACCGGACGACAACTTACTGAAAACCCCTAAGGTTGTAGGTTGTAGCCTGCAGCCTGAGAGGAAGGTGAGCAAAACAGTGTTATGTGAAAGCAGCCCAGCCCACCAACAGAAATCCTATAGATTTGTAGCTGACACCAAAGGAGAGTGAGCAGGCTGACTCACAGAGGAGTCTCCCAAAAGCACAGCATGTGGCCAGAAAGTGTAGGAGAAAAGCATGACTCCCAACATCTGTAAAATGAGGCAAAACTGAACGGAAAAAGATGGGCTGCTGAACATCCAGATGGCACAGGCTCATCACTGGGGAGTGAGCAAACCAAAGCCGGGAACCAGGAGATGAAGGCCAAATTCACCCCACACCCAGGAGGTCTGTGCTCTAAATCCTGAGAGCCACCAGGGTCACCTGAGAAGGGGACATGGGAATCTTGGAAAGCTGATGGGATCTGGATCAGCAACATTAACTCTGGCAAGTAAGGCAGAACTAAAGGCCAGGGTCTGGCGCAAGAGTGTAGTGGCTAAATTCTTGCTTGCTGGTGCTGGGATCCAATGTGGGCACCAATTAGTATCCTGGCTGGTCTACTTTTCTTTCCAACTCCATGCTTGTGTCCTGGGAAAGAATTTGAGGATGGTCCAAGGCCTTGGGACCCTGTACCCACATGGGAAACCTAGAAGAAATTCCTGGTACCCGGCTTCAGATTGGCTCAGATTTGACCATTGCAGCCACTTGGGAGTGAACCATTAGATGGAAGATCTTTCTCTTTGGCTCTCCTTTCTGACTTTCCAAAATAAGTAAATCTTTAAAAAAAAAAAAACACAAAAAACCTAAAGGACAAACATAACTGTGGGCAGACATTAGGACCCTGTTGTGTGTTGTGTGTACTCCAACATTAGAACCACATGCGAGGCAGAAAGCGGAGTAAAGTCTGCCTAGACAAAGACCAACTGTACACAGGAACAAGAAATAAAGGCATGAATTTAATCAATATTACAACAGAGATACAAGCTATACAACAGAGTGACACTGAAACATTTGAGGACTAGAGAAAACTAAAAATACAATGGAAAGCCTCCCCAAGAGAATGAGCAAGGAGGAAGAAAAGAATTTCAGAATGAGAAAGAAACTTCACTGGAGAATGCACCAAGAGTTAGTACTATGGAGAAGACCTAAGTGAAACCAGGAAATACATCAATGAATTAAAGGACATTATCAAAAGATTAAATATAAGGGTAATATGAATTCCTGGAAGCATAGAAGGAGAAGCAGGATTTCAAGAAATATTCACAAAATAATCAAAGAGAACTTCCCCCACATTGGAAAAGAACAGAGAAGTCAAACACAGGAATGACAGAAAACTTGAAACAGACTATCAGAAGTGATCCTCACCTTGACACATAACCATCAAAGCCTTCAGTTGAACATAAAAAAAAAAACTGAAATATGCATGCAAAAAGATAGGAACACTAATCAGACTCATTGCTGACTTCTAACAGGAGATATTTTTGGCCAAAAGAGAACGGAGTGCCATATTCCAGATCCTAAAACGAAAAAAGAATCAGCCCAGAATAACATACCCAGCAAATATTTCATTTGTATTTGAAAATGAAATCAAAATACTTCCACAGCAAACAGAAACTGAAAGACTGCTGTTACCAGATCAACCCTACAAATGTTACTGAAAAAAGTAAAGACAGGAAAAACAAAGCAGCTACACCCAATGATGGCAAAGGGGAACTTCTCAGTAAAAACCACAAAAGAAACTAAACGAGTGACACTAGTAGATAAAATAGTCCAGAAAATATGCAAATACTTGGAAGCTGAACATGCTACTGAATGAACAACTGGTTAGACAGGAAACCAAAGAAGATATTTAAAATTCGTTGGCGTGAATGAAGACATCGGTGTAATGTATCAAAGCCTGTGGGACAGAGCCAAAGCCGTGCTAAGAGGAACATTTACTGCAATCAGCATCTATATCAAGAAAACAGAAAGGCACCAGGTAATGAGCTACTATGCAGCTGAACAATATAGAAAAACAACAGCAAAATAACCCAAGATTATTAGAAAAAGAGATAATCAAAATAAAAGAGGAAACAGGCCAAATAGAGACCAAAACAACAATACATAATTAACCAAAGAGCTGGTCTGTCAAGAAAAATAAAAATAAATACCACTCTATTCCCACTGATTAAAAAAAGACAAGAAAAAATAACAGAATCCAAGATGAAAAAGAATACCTAACAATTAGTAATTACTACTAGCAACTATATGCCAACAAATCAGAAGATCTAGAAAAAATGGATAGATTCCTGGATACATATCATTTGCCAAAAAACAATAAGTTAACAGAAAATCTAAACACACTTAAAACTACAACAGAGATCAAATCAGTAACTGAATCCCTCCCAATAACAAAAAGCCCAGGACCAACGTGCTGAATTCTACCAACAGGGGAAAAGGCAGCACGGTGGGGTGTGCATCTCTTCTCCTGAAGAAAAGAAAGACCTCCCAGTAAAACTAATGTACCTCGACAAGATACTAGATTCTCTGCCATTGCCTATGCCTGCAATGTCATGACACTGTCAGTAAGAGGACGCTGAAACTGTAACTGCAGCTGCAGGACTTATGCCATTGTACATCAGTGGGGCAAACAGGGATGGAGGGCAGAGGGGAAGAGAGGAGGAGGAGGAGTGACGGGGGACTGCTCTATACCTACAAAAATGTGTAATAAAAATGAATAAACTTTTTTAAAAACTTAAGACAAAAAAAAATGTGAGCATAGGGTACTTCAGGAAAACACTGTCATAACCAGGACGAGGGTGATCCGGTGTCTGTAATCTTAAAACCCTTCCACAACTGTGGTTCACGTGGGCTGCTTCAAAGCCAAAACCATCTTGTGGGGGAAAAGAGAGAACTGAAAAGAACATTTTCGATTCATGCCTGAATGTTGATTCACTACCTGAGAAGGGCTACAAGAAGAGAGAATGCCAGTCAACACGACACGTCGTGCCAGTTTAATTTAACCATATTATTTTTGCCTGGCTTTGCAACATTCCCCAGGGAGAAACTAATGGATTACTAAAAATAAAATGGAGATTAAGTGAATCACTTAGGATGCTTTGGCTCCTAACTAAAAACTGGCTTAAGCAAAAAGGAAACACATTGGCTCAGACACTTGGACCATCAGAACAGGGGCAGGCACCAGGGCTGGTTCCCTGTGATTCTGGAATCTGTCTTCCACCCTGTGCAGCTTCTGGCTCAGGCTGACAGCCAGGAGGCTGCACACGAAGACCTCACAGCATCACACAGCAACACCCGGAAGAGAAGAGGCAGTGCGCTCTTAAGCCTTCATCCCAAGTACAAGAAAAGTTGTGCCAGAGCCCCAGCAAATCTGCCTTGGGCCTCCCTGGCTGGAACAGGAACATCCTGAAACCATCCCTCCAGCCGGCTAACAGCCAACACTAATCAGAGTGGCCCGAGCTCAAGCCCAACAAGGACACAGTGGGACGGGACGGCCCCGAGTGAGGGCTCCACCAGGTGCTGTGATCAGTTCCTCGACCTCACAACATGGAACACAGATGTTTGCAAGATTAGGATCCAAGCCTACTGCCCACTCCAGCTACATGGATTAGCTTCAACAACTCCGTGTGCATCAAAACATGTGATATCAAAGTCACAGTAAGTCTCTACAACTATAGACTGAGAAAGCAAAAAAACATTAACTTTCTAACCTTTTTAGAAAAGAGATGTTTCTTTCAATATTTCCATTTATCAGAAAGATAAATAAACTCAGCATTTCAGCATTCTATATAGGAAACCTGGCATCGTACTCACTGTGCTCGTGTGCCATGGCCGTGGATATTCAGACAGCAGCATCATCCATGCTAGCAGCGTTTAACCTGTGGGGGAATAAAAGCTGCTATAGTACACACGTGGCTCCACTGGAACACACAGCTGCACAACATTGGCAAAAGTCTTATCTCTGCTCTCAAACAGGTACGCCTGCCTTTCTGAAGCACGCAACTCTACTACAATTAAACACTGGGAAAAAAGGCACCAGCTTTAGAGTATCTCCACTATTTCCCAGTTAAGATCAGCAGCATCTATTGTAGAAGTGAACATCAAAAAGCCAAAATAAACAAATATATTTTAAGCAGTGCTGCTCTGGACTACTGCTTCAAAAAAATCGAAAGGGGAATTAGAGATAAAAAACCTCAAAAACGACATGGCCTACCCACTCACACATACACCAAGCAACAGAAATCTAGCTAAGTCAGCGCCAACATTTAACTCAGAGTTCTGAGAAAACAGTTCTCAGAAGAAAAATATGCTATCTTATCCAAATAGTTGACATGGCATCATCTTACTTAAGACAATCTCTGAATATTTAGCATTCCATGAAATTCTGAACAAACACACCCATAACACTGGAGATCTAAAGTCCTGCAATTGTTTTTAATATTCATAAGTGAAAGATAAGAATGCTGTCCTTTTCCAGACCCCATGAGAAAAATGAACCCAACAAATCAGCCATGTGATGGAGAACCTTTCCTGGTAAGTAACCTTCGACACCGAGGTGCTTCTTCCCAGGGTCAGGTGCCTTGACAAGGCCAAGGATGCTGAGTCACCATCCACAAAGGCCACGTCTGATCTCACTCAGCTCTCATTCTGCTCAGTGGCGGTGACATTCAGCCACACTGCTGTATTCACCATGATTCATAAAAAGGTCACGTATTTTTTTTTTAAAGATTTACTTATTTTTATTGGAAAAGCAGAGTCAGAAAAAAGGAGAGACAAAGATCTTCTGTCAACTAGTTCACTCCCTATGTTGCTGCAAGAGTGGGAGCTGAGTTGATCTGATGCCAGGAGCTTCTTCTGGGTTTCCCACATGGATACAGGGTCCCAAGACTTTAGGCTGTCCTTGACTGCTTTCCCAGGTTACAAGCAGGGAGCTGGATGGGAAGTGCAGCAGCCAGGGCATGAACTGGCACCCATATGGGATATTGGTGTATGCAATGTGAGGATTTAGCCACTAGGCTTTTGCACCAGACACACAAAATAATTATTATTTTTATTCATTTGAAAGGCAAAGTTACCAAGGTGCAAGGCTGGGAGGAGGGAAAGGCAGGAATACAGATCTTCCATTGCTGCTTCACTCCCTAAATGGCTGCAGGGGCTAGGATTCACTGTCCCTGGAATCAAACACTGGTGCTCAGGTGAGCCTGTGTCCTCACAAGGTGGGGCCTGGAAGCCACCCCCGCTTCACTTACAGACTGACTCCTGCCTGCCACTCACCCTTCTTCTAGTGCCAGGCAGGGCTTCAGAACTGGGAGCAGACAGGGCACAATGGAGGGCAAGAGGCAGAGGTACTAAAGGAAGAAAGGAGAGGAACAGATGGTGGATAAAGACACCAGTACAAATAAGGCATTGCGCTTTAACATAATCTGCAGAATAATCCAGACAAAATGGAAAGTAACATAAGCAGCTTAGAAACACACAATTTGGAAGGTCAGCGATCTTGCCATTTGGACATAAATAACGATAATTTTGAAGTTCACTAAAGCTCTTAAAACACTGCTGAAGGGATTTAACTTCCAGTTCAATCATCTCTTCCAGTCTAACAGATTAAAATGGGCAGGACAATGGAGCTTTTCAAACCCGACAGATAAGACAGTCCACTTTCTAAGCCTGCATGCTTTCAATAACCTCTATGCGTTCTTATCTCCAAATAAGGGTCAACCAAATGTTACCATGGTGAAAAATTAATTAGACCTTGTAACTTTCCAGTGGTTACAGGAAGTCATTAAGCTACCCCAGTGGCGCTCACATGAGAAGTGGGAAAAACTAGGCATGAAACCCAGGGAATAAAATGATCACAGTCATCCGCACAGGAAGGATGCACAGGTGAGACAGAATGAAACAGATCAGTGGACTGCATCACTGATGTGCAGGGCGTCCCTGTGGTTGAGGGACTCACAGGATGCAGAAATTGACAAGTGTGTGTATGGAGTAAGATCGTCATAAAAGTTACAAAACATTCACACATGCTATGGGAATCATGAATGAGCCAGAGGAAATGACAGCACGTAGGGAGAGTGAAGCGGGGGTGGGGTGGGGAGCTGTCTCCCAGAAGTAAGTGATCACAGATGGGCAAAGAAGCACTATTCCAGGCAAAGGGAGAAAACGTGAAAAGGCATGGTAGTACCCATCAGTTGGTCACATTCGAGGAGTAACAGGAGAGCAGAAGCAGCGAGAATACATGTGTAAGGCAAAACTAAAGCCCAGACAGTGCAAACACTTTGCAACATCACCAACATTTAAGTCTTATTTCACAAGCATAATGAAACTATAGAGGGTGGGAGGATAAGACTGAAATATTAGGAGCAGAGGAGTAGCATGATCTGTAAAATTAAAAAAGAAAAAAAAACCCAAGATGAAGTCATCAAAGGCAATAATGAAGAGTGATGTCACATAAAAGATGACAATCAAATTAAATACCAAGAAACAGAAGATCCGCAACCTCATTAGACATTTAAGAACATACTGGACAAGCAAAATCACAAGGTGGTAGGCAACATTACTTACACCTCAAATTAATAAGCTGTATGACAGTTATCTATTAAAGCTGAACATATGCATATATGCTGCACAACTCAGCCAACATAAATGAATTTAGAAATATGTGGCAAAGGATACTAAAGGGGTTTAGGAGATATTACTTCAAAATACAACACAGCACCTTGGCATTTAAGAAAACTGCAGAGAAAAACAAACAAAACAAAACAAAAACAAAAACCAACCAACCAACCAACCAAACACCTCTCTGATCCACTCTCATCCTATAGGCCATTACAGAATTCACCAGCCTTCCTAGTACAGTGGGTCCTGACACCCACCCATACTTGCTGAAAAGGAATGTCTTCATCTGTGAAGCCAGGGGGATCCTGAGAACACAAATAAACAGACCTGGGAAGTCTTAAATACCACCACCACACCCAAGGTCATGCCTCCTTTGACCAGGCTTCCACCCACCTGCCCATTCGCTGACACCCGTAACACAAAAATACATACAGTGTCTGTGTGTCTCAGGCTCTCATGTCACACATGACCCTACAGTAAGTAAATTGCTATGCTTTTTGTTTTTGCTTGTCATTTGTTACAGGGTCATCAGCCAGCCACCTAGTAATGATTACAAGAAAGAACTCTGGGGTCACTGTTGTGGTACAGTGTGTTAAGCCATTGTCACACTAACATTCCATAAAGAGATACCAGTTTGAATCCTGGTTGTTTTGCTCCCGATCCAATACTTTGTTCAAGTGACCAGGAAAGCAGTGGATGACGGCTTGTTGTACTTGGGTCCCTGCCATCCACATGGGAATGGACCAGGATGAGTTTCTGGTTTCTAGCTTTGGCTAACTCAACAATAAGCCAAGGGATGGAGGATCTCTTTCTTCCTTGTCTATGCTGTCACTTTTTTGTTTTTCAAACAAACAAAAAAAAAAACTTTTAAAAATAACTTTCTCCACTACAACATGAACAGGGACACTCCCAACAGGGTAACCCCTAACAGCCAAAAACTAGAAACAACTTCAATGTACATTCACAGAACTACAAAAAGAATGAAGCAATTCTGTACAACGACATAGTGATCAAAAGAATGCAACACTGCTACCTGTAACAGTGTGAATGAATATCATCAACATAACATGGAGAAGCAGCCACCTGCAAAACATACATGCCAAATAATTCCGTTTATACGAAGTTCAGTATGAGGCGCAAACAAGGTCAAGCGAAATAATACTGGTTATTTTCATGACCTGAGTGGTGGCTAGATTTCAGAGACAAATTCAATTTCTGAATAGCACTGACCTGTTCTCTAATTATATGATCTCTGCACATTTTTGTATTTTAGATCAAAATTCAAAATAGTATTATCTAAAAATGAATAATGAGCAAGTATACTGGCAGGATTATCAGAAAACTTCTCATCTTGTTCCCTTTGCATTCTATCACTGGAACACAGCCACGACTGGAGCTGCTGCTGAAGGTGTTCACTTGGATAAGCTGACTGCAGTAGTATCTGCACGGCTACTCTACTGTAGAGTTACTTACACTTTCCTTCTTTGTAATTAGCAAGAATTACAGAGGGAGATCCTTTGAAGCTATGTCAACATCCTGTTTATAAGCTTTCAACTAATTTTTTTGTACTTTGTACTGATATTCTTTATGCATTCAGTGCTTTGTAATCACTATAATCACTATAACTATAATCAGCTTCAGACATTATTGCTGCTGTAACCCAATCTGCCCAGGATCGGCCAACAGAAAGAGACAGCTTCCAGTGCATTTTAACATGACCCTACCTTTCTTTTTTGTATCTTTCATTTCTGAAACAAGAAACATAGTTCTCAATTTGCAATTTCTCATCCTTAAAAGCAATATGTCTCCTAATTCTTTTATTATAGAGATGGAATGCCTTTTTAAAAAATTGAAACCTGCCAGGTGTGGTGGCACATGCCTATAGTCCCAGCTACTGGGGAGGCTGAGGCCGGAGGATCGCTTTAGGAGTTTTGGGCTGTAGTGTGCTGTGCCGATCGGGTGTCCGCACCAAGTTCGGCAACACTATGATGACCTCCTGGGAGCGGGGGACCACCAGGTTGCCTAAGGGGGTTAGGTGATCTGGCCCAGGTCAGAAACGGAGCAGATCAAAAAACTGAAATCCAGATGCGAAAAATCCTCCTGGTTGAGAGGGAGGGGCTGCTTTCAGCCACTCTCAGTGGACCACACTGGGAAGCACAGAAGGACAAATAAAATTCATGAGAAAACTGAATTAAAAGATTTAAATAAATGTGAATTTTGGTGCAAACATTTTGAGATCCAGGCATAAACTTTTTTTGGA